TCCTTGTAATCGGTTCCCTCTTAACTAACCACTTTCCCTCTACCCTCCCAGTATCTAGGCGGAGCTTTTGTAGTACGCATTTTTCCTGCTAGGCGAGCATAGAGCAACTTGCTCTAGTTAGTTCACCCAGTGGCATCGCCTGGGAAGGTTCTCTCTGGTCACAGTGAATTTTTTTGTAAAAGCAGTTTCGCTCGAACCTCGTTTTTTTGTAACGACTGATTTAAGGGAACAGCATGTGACTGTGAAATTTTGTTTCCTGCTTGGGAAAAATGCCACAGAAATTGTTGTGATGTTGAACACAACTTACAAGGACAGCGCTATGGGAAAAGCTCAAATGTGTACGTGTTTTTCTGATTTCAAAGAAGGTGAAATATGGATTGATGATAAATCTCGTTCTGGACATCTGTCAACTTACTGAGCAGATGAAAATGTTGACAAAATTCTGCACTTGTGCTCGAAGACTGATGGATGGGCCATTGAAGAGATGGGGAAGTTAGCTGGACTATCTTGGAGCTTGTTCCGGAATTTTAATGGAAGATTTGGAAATGAGAAGGGTCAATGTGAAACTTGTGCCTTGGGTTCTGACTGACCAGGAAAAAAGCATTGAGTGGAAACATGCTGTGCTTTGAAAAAACATCTCCGAAGCGACCCACACTTTGTTTCCAAGGTCATTACTGGTGATGAGACATGGTGCTGTTCTTATGATCCCAAAAGCAAACGTTAATCAAGCCCCAGTGGAAGATGCCATCCTCACCTCGCCCCCCAAAAGCTCATCAAGTCAAATCAAAGCTCCAGATGATGCTCATTTATTTTTTTGATGTGAGGGGGATAGTGTATTTGGAGCTTCTACTACCAGGTGAGAGTGTTAATCAAGCTTTCTATTTAGAGGTTCTGAAAAGATTATCTAACAGTGTGACAAAAAAGGCCTGATTTGTGGCAGACGGGGGAGTGGTTTTGCCACCACGACAATGCACCTACTCACAGTGTGCCAGCTTTTGGCAAAACCCAGCATGCCTCTCTTGCCCCGTACAACTTCTCACCTGCCTTTGCTCCATGTGACTTTTTTGGTTTGTTTGTTTCCTCGAATGCAGAGGGACCTGAAAGGACAGCGATTTAACGACATAGAAGAGGTGAAGAAAAAAATCAGGGAGGTGCTGTCAGCCATCCAAACAGATGAGCTTAAAAAATGTTTCCAAGAAAAGAATTGCAGATTTGACAAATGTATTAAGTGTAATGGAGAGTACTTTGAAGGTGATATGGTTGTCTTGTAAAAAAATTTAAATACATATCTTTGAAAAAAATATCCATTTTTTGGTACCACTCATTTGTGCTTTATCCATTAAAAAAAAGTTTTTAAAATGTCCTATGTATGTTTGTTAAGTTGAATTGCAGTTGGGGAAGAAACCACATTTACTCTAGAAATAGGTCATTTGTGATTGTTTTTTCAAAACGGAAATAAAATAGGCAAGATGTTTAATTTGTTATCATTTGTTATGGTATAAGTCATACCATATGAATTGTTAAAAAAAATTAGGCCTTACCCAAATATGAAAAGCAGAAAATGAAAATTATTTATAATCCCATAACCTAGAGATAACCTTTATAAACATTTATAAATATTCTTTGAGATGTCTTTTCTCAGAATGTATGTACACACTAATTATTTTTCTTTTCAGAAAATACAACCCAGTGTTGTGTTTGAAAACGTAGCTAGAACTTTTTCTAGTTAACTATGAATTACAGATGTCTTTTCATTTAAATAAAGCATCCACAGTATTATTAATTACTTCCTAACTATCTTGACCCTGCAGTTTGCATAACTAGTTTATTTCATTAATTTCCTATTTATATTTTGTTATTTCAGACACCACCATCTCAAAAATTCCTTAGTATAAATAAGTAGAAGTTAAATGACTAGGTCAAAGAGAGCCTCCTTTTAAAGTGTTTGGTATTTATTACCCAGAGGTTCTCCAGAAAGCTTGTGTAGTTATACTCCCATCAGTAGTGTGTGAATACTCATACCATTGTCTTTTACCATTACCAACTAGGGATGTTATCATTATTTTAATTTTCTTAGATATAACTTTAGGGATTTAAGTTTTTTTGTTTACTTTATGCCATTTTAGGAGTCCATAGTGTTATAAGTTTATTTTTATTCAAGATGTAAACCGGGAGGTAGACATTTTCCCATTTCATGGTTCTGGGATTTGTGGGTTCCTAAGGGTAGAGGGTAGGGTAGCTTCTGTGTAATAAGAATTATTTATTTGTAATAATGTAGTTCACTTTTCAATAATTAAAGGAACATGGCCTATATCTATTAGAATAAAACTGAAGTTTCTTCTTAAAAGATTAATCATCTTTAAATTAATAACAAGCAAGATCTTGAATACCTACTAATGCACGAGGTGTTCTTCATAACTTGCCATAATCAATGTGACTTATAGTGATTGCCACATCTTTATTTTACAGAAGAGGGAACAGGCTCAGAAAGACACAGTAACCTACAGTGACAATGCTGTCGCCAAGTGCTAGATCTGGGATTCGAACATAGTTTTACTTGTCCTAAATTGATTGTGAAGGAAGGCCTAAATAGACCAAAGTTGCCATCATTTATTTCCTGTTGAGTATATGGGTATAGAAATTTGTTCTCAGTGTTAGGAGGAGAATATTATATAAAGTTCAAAAATGAGTTAGTGTTATTACATTTTCTCTAGTGGATATTTTGTATGAAACAGTTCTTTCAAAAATGATACCCTACAAAATGGACATGCCTCTCTGTAAATTGTAATCTATCAACTTTCTCCTAAAGGCTAACCATTTGGAAACACAGCCTATCGTATGACTATACCTATAAACTAAGAAAATAACAAGGCATTTATAAAATGCAGGTACTCGGAGCCATTTGTAAGTGTACACATTCCTGTGTAAACCTTCAACTCTCACTTCGCTCTAATCATTTGATTATTTGTTTCCATTGCCACTGAGTTAGATAGCAGTTAATCATTGAATGATGGGGCATTTTTGTTTACCTATTAACAGGACTGAGGATTTAAAAGAAAGGAATCCCTTGCTCTCAAGAGCTTACCATATATACTCGAGTATAAGCCGACCCGAATATCAGCCAAGGCACCTAATTTTACCACAAAACTGCATTAAAAATGTGCTGAAAAACTCAGCTCATACACGAGGACATATGATATTTTCTAAAATGGAAGGCAGATCGGTAAATGAGAAGATACAGAGCACTGTCATTAATAGCTACCCATGAAAAGAAAGGCTCCCAGGTGGAACCATGAGGCAAAACCTTCCTATTTGTTGTATAGAAAAAGGTGCATTTGAAAGAATCACTAAATCTAAAATGAGACGCAAAACAGAAAATTCCAAAAACAAATGAAGGAGTGTACATCAGCTGGAAAATACCTGACTGTAGAAATGTTTGAAAACCTTTCCAGACAAAGTGACATTGAAAGTGACCCTAAAAGGCAACACATACTTTGTAGTTCTAGAACAGAGAGGAGAATAGCACATCCCAAAGCACAGAGGTTCTAGAGACTCTGTTACACTTGGCGAGGACAAAATAATTTGGTCATGGCTGGAGCTCATGTGAAGTTCATGTGTAGGAACTGGTGAGAGAAAAACTATGAAAGAAGATTGGATCTGATTTGGAAAGGTTATTGTATTACACTAAGGTGTTTAACCTGGAAGTCGCCAACAAGTGAATGATAGGATTCGGTCACGGTGTTGGAAGGATCGTTCTTGGCAGTGTGGAGGGGCACTTGAGGGACGAAAGCCAGGAGAGAGCAAGACTAGTCAGTGGATCATTACAGGGGACCAGGCCAAAGACGAGTCTTAGATAAAGCAGTGGCTGTGCATAAAACTGAGAAGACATTTAGGAGTAGAACTGATGGTGAAAGAGCAATGTGGGAAGAGAAGCTCTGGATTGAAGTTCCAGCTTTAGCAGCTAACTAGCTTGATGTTGTTTTTGTTACATACCTCATAGTCCATTTCAATTTAGACTAGCCCAATGTGACAAGAGCAAAACCACCCTAGGGTTTGCCACTTGATAATCCTAGCCACATTACCTACTCTGAGCCTCATTTTGCCATCTGCCAAAGGTAAGTAATAATAATCCCTGCTTAGTAGGGCTGATGAAAAAGTAAATGAAACAATCCATTTGCAAGTGCTAGGGCACTTAAAAGCTCTATGCAAATGTTATGGTTTAGGAGTAAGGGAAAGGAAAGAAATATGGATGGTACTGAAGTTTCTGGCCAGGTTGTTGGAATAGGCAGTGGCGGTCGGGGGGCCTACATAGGAGAGAGAGTTGAATTTTAGATGTACTGAGTTTGGGCTATATTGAAGACGTCAGGGGACACTTGAAAACATAGATCTGAGACAAGTGATCTTTAGAGAGATTTGGAACTGAAGCTTAGAGGAAGATTTCCTGAGAACCCCAAATGGACAATCTTGTCTTCCTTGTCTCCCTGCCAGTGTCCCGCACGTCTCTCAGATTCAGAGAATGAAGAGCCTTCTCAAGGCAAGATGCTACAGACACATCGCTCGGCATTTGTCTCCAAGAACAACTCCTACTCCTTAGCTTTCCTAGCAGGGTAAGAGACTGATTCGGAATTCGGTCTATGTTCCTTCATTTTGACGTAGAGACCAAAATTAATTGGGGCGCAAACGGTGTTTGTTATAGCTGTATTAGAGTGGATGGAAGAGGAGAAAAGAGGTGGGAATTGATTTTCAAATGTGAGATGGGAAGGCTGATCTGAATCTTTAAATTTTGGCAAAAATATATACAACAAAACAAAAAACTGTTCATCAGTTTCTGCACAGACAAATCAATGTCACCAGTTACTTTCCTCACATTGTGTTACCATTCTTGCGCACTACTCTTACCATTTCACCACTACTAACTTTGACCCTCTCTATCCCTTCAAAGCAGCCCTGGTGCATGGGGTCTGGCGCTGGCCGACTGCGGACTGGGAGGCTGGTGGGTAGAGCCAGTGAGCCACTCTTTGGGAGAATGATGAGGCAGTGGTAGTGTTCACAGCCTCAGAAACCTTAGAGGACAGTTCTCCTCTGTCCCATGGGGTGGACAGGACTGAGCGTTAACTTGACAGCAGTGGGTCTGGGGTACGCCCTTACGTTCCCATCTGTGCTTCAGAGCCCCGTTGTCGATTTGATTGTTTTTACAAGTCCAACGTGTTCCGAGCTCCTTATTCAATGAGCTAAGTGGTGGCTTTAGTTTCAGATGACTTCATGAGATAATTTGGTTCAAAGTTTAAAGATTGTTTCAGGACAGTAGAATCAGGAGTTCCCCTGGTCTCAATGGATCTAGTAAGTCTGGTTTCCATACATATGTGATGTTCTGTTCCACATGTGTGTCCTCTTTTTCATCAGGTTCCATCTGTTGAGTCCTTGATCACAATGTTCCGTAATGGTAACCAGGCACTAACCATTTCTTCTGGCTTCATGGCAAAGAAGTAGTGGTACATTTAGCAGTTACACCTGCTGCCCATTTCTTTCTCCAGTTTCTGGGTCTCCTTCTTCTACCAATATTTTATCTTTAAAAAACAAAAAGCTTTTATTGACATATACTTTGGGTACAATACAATTTAGTGGCTTAAATATATTAAAAAGATGGTGCAGTCATCACCATAGTCAATTTTTTATCATATACTTCATTTTTGTATCCATTGTTACTAACTCCCCATCACTTCTTAATCCTGCTTGTCACGACCCTCCAAACCAAACCAAAATCAAAATCACCTCCACTCACTTGATGCCGACTCAGAGCGACCCTATCGGGACAGGGAGAACTGCTCTTCTGCCCCCTCTGAGTTCCCAAGACAATTTACAGGAGTAGAAAGCTCTGTCGTTCTTCTGAGGAGCAGTGGTGGTTTCGAATTGCTTTCGGTAACCACTACACCACCAGAGCTCCTTGTCAGGAACTGTTATTTTAGTTACTGAGATCTGTTGTTTCACTGTGTCCTGGATTTCATGTAAAGAAAGCCATACAAAAAATTTTAAAAAGCCATCAGTGACAACATGATAAAACAGATAACCTTCAACCCCAAAGAAAACAGAAAATAATACACACTAGAACAAGTTAAAAGTGGTTCCAGAGGGGAAACAACTGGTAAGATGTTAAATTTTAAACCAATTATATCTTCAATCATCTATTTTCCAATGCGTTCTGTCTGAGGACAAAACTTCACATATCTGGTCGATGGTCCAAAGGAATTCAGTGGAGACTTTGTCTGCATGGGAACTGTGCAATCACCTGCTCTTTCTTCCAGCGTAGCAAGGACTGTTCTAGGAGAATTTAATTGGTAAGCCTTACCTTATCATTTTTACAGTTCCTGCCTCTTCAAACTTATTTTTGTTTACCAAACTCAAAGAACATTGAAAAGGAATACTGTCCAAATCCCTCAAGAATGCCAAAACTGCTTTCTGCAATTTTTGTGAATCAGAGTATAGAGCTCTTTTATAAAAAATCATTTATTTGGGAGCTCTTACAGATGTTGTAATTCATAATTCAATTAGATCAGGCATAATTGTACAATTGTTGCTGCCATCAGTTTCAAAACATTTTCTTCTTGAACTTAATATTGGTAAGGGTGAGATAGATGGAACTGCCACCTTCAGTAGTGTATAGAGCTAAGTGGAGGAGGTGTCAAAAAATAGCTTCACGTTTTAAGACTTCCCTTTTAATTATAAGGGAGTTCTGGTTACATAGTGGTTACTTACTTGACTGCTAACCACAAGGTCAGCAGTTCAAAACCACCAGCCTCTATGAGGGAGAAAGAGTGTTCTGCTCCTATAAAGAGCAGTCTCAGAAACCCACTGAGTTAGTTAATTGTACCAACCTGGCCGATAATCACATGTGGGGCTGATTGAAAGGCGGAGGGATAAATGGGTGGTGAGCCTCGCCTTTCTAGTTCTCAGGTCTCTTGCTTTGTGATGGTCATACCAGGGTGTAGCTGCCCTAGCAGTTCCCTGCTTCAGCTTGCAAGATTGACTTCCTACAAGACATCCCCAAGGAGAAGCCACATGGACCTATCCCGATGCAGCCCTGGGTGCTGGAGCAGCCGTGTGGAGACCCCTGCCAGCGCTGAGATGCTATTCGTTCACTGACTCAGCTTTCCTCCTGCAGTCGGCATCATTGCCTCTGTTTTGTGAGGTGGAGGACTTTGTGGACTGGTGTTGGGTTAATGAGTTAATGTTGGACTTGTGGGCTTGGGCAGCATTGGGTTGGGATGTTTTCGTGATGCACACTTTCTTTACATAAAACTCTCTTATACATGAGTTGCTTGTTATGGATTTGTTTCTCTAAAGTACCTAGGCTAATACACCCACAGAAGTTCTGTCCTATCCTACAGGGTTGCTATGAGTTTGCATCAACTGGATGGCAGTGAGTTTTTTAAGACTTTCACTAGTCAGAATTGACTTGGCAATGGGCGTGGGTTTATTAATCACCAGTGAATAGGTACCTCACAATTTAAGAGGTTTATAAATTGTAGCCCCTTTGGTCCTGTGGGTTAGGCATTGGGCTGCTAACTACAAGATTGGTGGTTCAAAACCCACCAGATGCTCCTTGAAAGAACGATGAGACTGTGCTCCCATAAAGGCTTATCGTCTCAGAAACCTTGTATAGGGTATGAGTCAGTGTCACCCTGATAACAATGGATGTGGTTTTTGCTTTTGATGTAAATTTTATTCTTTTTAAAAAATACATTCTTTTCAAGCAGTCTGATTTTCCATTTACTTCTGAGAGTAAAATTCACTCAAGCTCCCTTTTCTGTAAATGCCTTGTTTTCTCTGGGTATTGGCACTTTCTTCCTGAAGGCCCTTCCCAGAATATTTCTTTACTCATTTGAAATTAGCTTAATTGCTAATGTATGGTAGCCATTTAGTTTGATTGATATAATCAGGTTTCAGCAAGCAAAGTGTAAGCCAGTGTCCTTTCCATTTACAATGTCTGAGCTTGAAAGGCCCTCCACAGTTAAAAACTCAAAGTCACCTGACTAAGCCTGTCCGCCGCTCATTGTATGTACGCAGAATTTCTCTCCTGCATCCTCGTGCCACACTCATAAGAAGACAAGGCGTTAAAGGATCACACCGAATTGGCTCATGATTGACACAACAAGAAGCTAATGTGAGAGTCCCTGGGCAGGTCAATCGCTTACTACACTTGGCTGCTAACCAGGAAATGAAAAGTTCAAGCCCCAGCCAGGAATGCCTCAGAGGAAGAGCTGGTGGTCCCCTTCTGAAGCGTCCCTTGTGGAAACCTATGGAGGACAGGTAGTTCTCTTCTGACAGACACCAACAGGGTCTCCAGGAGTCAGCATTGACTTGATTGCGATTGAATGGAAACGAATCAATGTTACTCTATGTAGTATGGGATTAATTAATATGTCATACTTTGAAATGACTTGGAAAAATTTATTTTATATCAAGATTCTAATATGATACCAAGGGCAAATTATGCCAATTAGTTGGAACAGAAATGGTAATACATGGGTTACTTATCACAAATTCTAGTTTCTACACTGCTAGGCCATTCTTTTGAAGGGGATAGCAGATTTTTAAGCCATTACTTAGAAATGCGTATCAAGAATTTTAGAAAAATTTCTAAAGAGCGAAATGGAAGGCTGGTTAAAAAAAAGGGTGGGGGCGGGGTTGAGGCAGGGGCCTGATGTTGCACATTTGTTCTGTATGGCTCTGGAATAGATGTCACATAGCTTCTTATGTCACCCTTGCCTTTAGCCCGTATCACTGAACCACGGCAGGACAGATTTACAGGAAAATATTTAATGAGAAATGTAAAATAAGAAATGTTTGTGATCACACATTTTGGACATATCAAAATAAACTAAAAACCACACTCACTGCCATCGAGTCCAGACCTCGAACTGCCAAGACGGTAAACTCCAGACGGGTGTGGAAAGCCCCTTTCTCCTTCAGAGTGGCTGGCGGTTCCTCACTGCCGACCTTGCAGTTAGCAGCACAGTGCGCAGCTGCTGCTGCCACCAGGCCCCAGGTTCCATTTTTGCCAAATATCCAACGCTCTAGGTTGAGTTCAATGATCAGAACAGTTATTACAACAGGTAATTGTATTTAGTTGTTAGGACATTTTTAGGAAATACTTTGCTGATGTCATGGAAACCTTAGAGTGGAAAATTTATTATGGTAATAATGTGGTTTGCATGTCTTTTGTCAATACGCTTTTTTTCTTAGAAAATATTAAGTTTCTGTTCCAAATTATATTTAGGAAAACAATATAAAATTGTGCTGACAATGAGCTGTAGCATTTGGTTCTGTTAAAACCAAATTAGCATTTTTTGTAGTTTTTATGTTTAAATGTTTTGGGGTTTTTTTTCTGTTAATAACAACAAAAAACTAGGTTTCATTGCAAGTTCTTTTCTTGAGAGTTCTTATGCAATGTTAAAGCTTTTTCATCTGTGTTTGAGTCAAATGAACCTGTTGTGTGTTTAACCTCACCTATTTTATAAACCTTTTTCAAGCACAAGGCATGGAGGTAAGGGTGAGTAGGCACAGCTGCTAGGATGGCTGTGAGTCTTGTCAGCAGTTGAGCTCCCAG